ATTCAAATTTGCTTGGATTTCATGATGAATTAATAATTAAATAACTCACAGTTGCCATAAAATGCATGAAATTTCGCACCTTCGAAAATTAAGGATCCCCTATTTATCCGATGTTCACCATTCCTTAAATGATAAAGATTCTAGGTAGCACATTTTACATATGTAAAAAAATGTATATAACAAGTAGACGTTACTGAGTCATAGTTTCTATGAATGGATACTTGTCTCCATCAGGTTCAGTGAAGTTAAAGTAACCACATCTTACGTCAACATCAAAAAAATAAGGAATTGTTTCAGTTATGTAAAAAATTCCATCAAACAACTGAAAGATTATTTTTCATTTTCTAAGTGTCGGTCGAAATAAAAATTAATTTTTGAAAAGTTTTTCATACTTCATTCGGGTCGAAAACAGAAGTTGACTGACAATAATCATCGCATGTTTTCCCCTCCGGTATCGGAAACTGAGCAGCAGTAAAGTGCAACAGAAATAAAATATTTATTAAAATAAAAAAATTCATTTATTTAAATTTTGAAAGAGTTTGAAGTATAATTTATAAACTGCTCTGATTATGAAATGAACTCCCTGAATAACTAGTTCGATTGTTCCTACTCAATATTTATAGCACCAGTTTTAAGTAATAAGTTCTGCTAATAGATACTTAAATGTACTGACGTAAGATGAATATTTCAAAATTTAAGTTTGTAATTATCACGAATTCACGTTTTCCTATAAGCTTTTAAACAAAATGATTTTCAAGTTGTATGAAAAGTTTCATTTGTGAAACCGATTGAACCATGCAAATATTTTATTTTCTTAATTGAATTGAAAAAGTTAATTTAACATCGCTTAAACTGGTAAACCACAAAATATTTCCATTAACATTTCGCGCAATTAGATTGATCCATTTTTGTAAACGCATCAGAAGGAATACCACAAGCGTCAAGTGCATCCATTAATTGATTGACGTCTTCACACTCAGGAAAGGCCAGCCTTGAAAGTATATAAACGTAAACTGAGGACATAAATAATTGCAAATCAGTGCAAGAGTTTGAATAAATTCAATAAATATTTACTTCCTGCTCCTTCCTTTGTAAAGAAACCGCACTCATAACAAAAAATATGCGCATACAAATCTGAATAACTTAAATTGATTAATAACTATGTACATTGTGTTGATAATTCAAATAAAACTGACTTGAATTTAACGCTAAGATTTGTGCATAAAAAGGCAGATTCACTAAACATAAATTAAAATTTGCTTGGATTTCATGATGAATTAATAATTAAATAACTCACAGATGGTATAAGATGCTTGAAATTCTGCCCCGTCAACAATTAAGGATCCTCTATTTATCCGATGTTCACCATTCCTTTAATGATAAAGATATTAGCACATTCTACATAAATAAATTTGTATAATAATTAGACGTTTACTTAGTCATAGTTTTTATGAAATGGATACTTGTCTCCATCAGGTTCACTGAAGTTAAAGTAACCACATGTTGCACCAACATCAAAGGAATAAGGAATTGTTTCAGTTATGTAAAAAATTCCAGTAAACAACTGAAAGATTATTTTTTATTTTCTAAGTGAATTAGATAATAAAAATTAATTTTTGAAAAGTGTTTCATACTTCATCCGGGTCGATAACAGAAGTTGACTGACAAAAATTATCACATGTTTTTCCCTCCGGTATCGGAAACTGAGCAGCAGTAAAGTGCAACAGAAGTAAAATATTTATTAAAAGAAAAAGAAACATTGATTCCGCTTTTCAATGATTTAAAACTATTTTTTTAAGTTATCAAGAATGAAACTTCAACAATGAAAATGTTTCCTTGTTCTTTTTGAATATATGCAGTAAGTTCACTTAAACAATGAATCCCCCACTACAATCTTTCTTTTCACTTAGAAACAATGAATTTGCTTTTATCTACCTCAAATGTTCATATGGGGTAATTTTCCGCAATTAAAACAAAGTTGCTTAAATTTATATAAAATATTGAAATAAATATTCAAACAGTTGCTTTAAGTATCACGAAATCACGATTCGTACTTTTATTTCGTTTTGAATAGTTTGTGATAATATTTTCCCTCAACTCGTAAATTTATTTTCAGAAAAATGTTTTAAATATATCTACAAGAAATTCTGATTTATAAAGTTAATAATAATTTCAATTTCATAGAATTGTTGCTTAGAATGTAATTCAATAAAACTAACTTTGTTATTCTATTTCACATTTTTTTATTGATTAAATTCACTTAACTGTAGCTAAGACGTTAGATAGAAGCTTCATAAAATATGAATAATTCTTCATTTAAATAATATTCCATCAAATGAGTTGAATGTTAACATTCATTACAATTTGACTGCCCAACTTTCGTAAACTCAGAACTTGGAATTCCACATTTATCGAAGACGTCCATTATCGGATTTAAATCATCACACTCAGGGAAAGCGAGTTTTGAGAAAATGTAAATGTAAACTTAAAAGAAAAAATAAAATTTTATAAAACTTAAAATAATTAAATCTCACCTCCAGCGCCTTCCTTTTCAAAGAAACCGCAGTCATTGCAGTAAACGAATGCAATAATATCTAAACAATTATTTTTAATTTTCTTTTACTGAAATATTCGAAGTTTAATAAAAAATATTACGAACTTGGTGTAATAGCCAGAAATTTGCCAGAAAATGGAAGACCCACTGTAATTTTAGATAAAAGTTTGACTATTGGATTTGAAGATCTTTGAAATTATTCCTTACAATCACTAAACACTAGTTCCACGGCTGAATCATTAATAATGAAACTACCACCAGTCTCTCGATGTTCACCTTTACTAAAATTTATGAAATATTAAACAAGTTGCAATCATCTACTCAGGCCTCAAAATTTACTATCTTTCAATTCTTTGAAAAAACTGCATTCCATTTTCATCTGGTTTTGATACATTAATATAAGTGCAACTTACGTCCACGTCGAAAAAGTATGGAATTAAGTCAGTAAGGTAATAAATATCATGCACCTGTGAGGCAAATTAATCCTTAAATGACATAAATTTGTTCAGAAAAGCATAATAAAAACCTGCGACGGATCAATATTAGAATTTATTTCACAAAAATCATCACAAGTTGTCCCTTCGGGAAGCTCATATTGAGCATCACTTGAACTTGAAAAAAATATTAAAATTATGAAACAAACAAGTTTCATTGCAAGTTCTGATTTCCGTTGTTGATCTAAAAAATAAATTTACAAAATGAAAATGAAAGAAGCTTTAGCTTTATATATATTGTTTTACATTGTTAGTAAGTATTCATAAAATTTAAACGAACTCACGTTTTTCTTTAAAATTTCCCATGATAATTAGCAAATTTGTATAATGACGAGAAATATGAGGACAAAGACTGTCAATTAAATTTTCTTCTTCTTTTATTTACACCAGAGATGGGCAAATGTTCCGTTCAACTCGATTGACTGACTGACTGACATGTCAATGTCTTTCAGTCAGTCAGTCAGTCAGTCAAAATCGCGAACAAAAATATTCGCTTGTTGGGACACGTTCATATAAATGTTCCGCTCAAGTCGTTTTACTGACTGAGTGACAAGTCAATGTCTGTCAGTCAGTCAGTCAAATCCCAACTCTGATTTACACGAATGACATAATCTTGAAGAGAAAAATAAATAACGAATTATTTCTTAAAAAAAATCTTTCAAACCCATTCATTTCAATAAGCAAAAAATGATTTATTCATCTTCAACTCACATTCTTCCTTATTTTTCTAGATATATGATCAAAATTTATAAAAATATTTCAGATTTGTTTTGTAAACAATTTTTTTGTTCCATTATTTCAATGAACTCTGATCAATGACGCAATATCTCATTTGATTGACGTATTAACAATATTATTTTACCTGATATCGTAAACATTAATTCTAAATCATCAATTATTTAAAAAGTCATGGTCTATCTATGCCAAGATAGAAGAGAATTTTACAGTTAGCGTATCCACTTCAAAAATCATATAATTAAATACAATTGTAAATCACACGTGAAAACAATAACACATCAAAGGTAAATGTTTGTTTTTAACGATGACTAGTATTTGCAAATTTCATATAAATAAAGATTTATTCGTCTGGATGTTTCAGTATTTTTAAAGAGTGGCAACTTAGATGTTCTGGTAATAAAAGTTGAATAAAAAGTGACACAATGACGAAATTAGTGGAAATTATGTTGTTGTTCTTAACTATTTTAAAATATTCTGACTCTCATCCTACCCAAGTGATTCAACCGAACAACCATGAGTTAGTCAACGGAGTAAATGAAATTCCTCAAAGTTCTGCAACTCAAACTGTAAATTCAGAAAATAAAGATATTTTGAGTGATCGATTGAAAAACGAAGAGTTACGTGCAAAACGAGGTACGGATGAAAATTTTAATTCAAAGTTGGAGTAACAAATTTCACGTTTTAATGAATTTTTCAGAGACTGATGATGATAATGATGATTACATACTTGAACGACGTTATGGAGGCCGCAATCGTTACTATCTTGTCAAGGATGGTCGAAGGTACAAGATTCCACATGTCCACACCATCGACCAAGATTATTACATTCCCCATAAATCCAGCAACAGTCGCTTCAATATTTACCATCCAAAATATGATAATGACCCCCACGACATTTTAGATAATTTTCGTATAAAAGGCCGTCTTTACAAACACCACGAAGACGACGATCGTGACGACGACGATAGCGACGAAGATAACAGCGACGAGGACGACAGTGACGAAGACGACGACGACAAGAAGCATCGCCGAAGAGGATGTTAACAACAATTACAATGTCAAGGCCATTCATTATTTTATTTTGTAATATTTTACATTTTATAACTTCATCACGACTTTTGATTCGGTGATGTTTAAAAATTTATGTTTGAAATATTTAATTCTATGAACTGTCAGTCATTGCCCACACACTGTTTTTACTTGAATTCAATTCCATGAAATCTTCAAAGGAAGCCTTCTTGTGCTATTTGTTCACATACTTGTGGTAGAAAATCTGATAAAACTCTCTTGATGCCAAAATTGATAGTCTTTATATTCATTTTTATTGCGGAAAGGGTTACCATAGAAAAATATAATGCTACAATAATATCTAAACAATATCTTTTTATAAAAGATCTTAAAAGAAGACCTTTTCGATGTGCTTTTTTTAGGCAGAGATGAAACCTCTTTCAGTTTATACTTCTCGTTATATGATGTTGAAGTTTCATTTTAAATAAAATCGAATCAAAATATCTCTTTGCTTTCATGATTATATTTTTTCCTACGTTCTTGGCAAATATTGTAATGAAGCGACATTTTCAGGCAACGGATTTTCCCCCGTGCAGAATTGCCTCGATAAACAACAAAAAATGGCTCATTTTCATTCATAAACATTTGTTTCGTTGTGGGTTGAAAATTCTTCCCTTCGCCTTTTTTTTTGGCGCAGTAACTGTAATAAAGTTACAAATTTAAACTGATGTTGTCGGCGCTTAATGTTTGTGGGTGAGATTGGCTCATGTCATGCGACAAAGCATCAAAAATGTTTTCATTTTCTAGGTCATTGTGATGGAAATGGCAAGCGCGCAATCGATGAAAGTGACTGTCACAATTGATTATCGTATTTAAAGGAAGAAGATCTCAAGATGAAATTTTAATTTTGTAATTCAACGCATCTTGTTTGATCATTGAAATAGTTTGGAGGGCAGTAATGGAGACTGAAAAGCGGAATAAATTTTTTATTGGTGCTTGAGGATCAAACGACTCACATATTTTAGATTCGTTCATCAAAAAGATTTAATTTTCCTTCATGACGTTTCAGAGATGACACAGCACAAATAGAACTTTAGTGGACATGACGATAGAAGCGTTGAGGGGGAAATTGAGGCGTAAAATCATATAGAAGAGAAAAAATTTCATTTCCCTTTTTAATAAACCTTGTCAATATTTTCTTTTTCGTCCTCCATCGGGTTAAAAGACCTGTTTCAGCAATGAGGGGTTAAAAAAACTTTATTGACAACATAAATTCCATTTCCTCATTCCGTACTTTGCAGCTTTTTCCCTTAATTGCTTGTTTCCCTCACACTTCGTTATTTACTTACGAGGATATCAACGAATATTATCAAACAGCTTATTTCAATGGACTCCATTCTTACTCTAACAATGTTATCCACTTGACCTTTAACTTATAAATTAGAAGAAATGCAAGAAAACAAAAGAAAATCGAAACCACTTCAGGATTCATATTGTTCGAGATTCATGCGTGAGACCCGAGAATTTTTTTTGCTTTCTATGTCGTTCACTGATTGATTGTTTATTCAGGATATAAAATACGATCCTTATTGTTTTCCTATCTCATTTCTGAAATTTTCTCCTGTAAGCACCGCTTGTGTTTGTAAACAAACATCCGATGAATATTATTGTCTCTTCATCGTAAAACATTCCCATGAAATATTTGCTTCTGATTGATATCCTCCCTTGAATTGATCTTTGCGTAGCATTCTGTCAGTAATTGTTTTTTTTTCTGTTTGGTTGTTGTTTTCGATAAACATTTGTAGATTTAACATTAATTACGTTTGGGAGAGAGAGCGAGCGATAATAGCCATAAGCGAAGAAATCTTGTTTAGCTTGGGTTGAGAATAAAAACGCTGTTCCATAATTTATGAATTAATCGGCATATACGATGGAAAATATTTATTCCCTTCATTTAGACCGTAATTTGACTCAATTCAATATATATTCTGGCTGTCAAGTATTTGTTTCTGTCTTTTGTTTATCTTTTCTTCTCGCCATTGCAGCGCATTGATACTTTATTTTATTTCAATTTCGCTGCTTTGCTTGGTGAATATTTTATGTGTTTGAATGATAAACAAAAGAAATTTGTTATTTAGATTGGATATCTATTTGAAATGTTAGTGATGCTTGATTTTATTTTATTAATAATTTCAAATGTGATAATAATTTGATATTGGAAAAATTGGAGAAAATTTCAATTTATAGATTCAACAACGAAAATCTGAGAAACATTCATAAATATTGATTCAAATTTAATATAAATATGTGAAACACATGCAAGTGATATATCCACCTACATTTTTAAGATAATCGATATCGCTCAATCATCAATCAGCTTTTTCGATTTAAATGTCATCTTTCAAATTTTCTTTTCCTGATTGAAATAATTCTGTCTGTTTATAATGTTTCGATAATTTATTATATTCAAAATCATATTTTACTGCAATATTTTGTCATTTGTAGCATGTTGTTTTATTTCAATTCTTTGTTGTTTTTGCTTTAATTATTTTATTGAGAATTGCAAAATAAAATTAAACAAATTATTGAAAATTATTAATAACAATATCAAATTACTTATTTATTTCAATAATAATTAAATGAATTGTTCAGATTAAAAAATGATTTTTGATGGCAAAAAACAATATCAAATCGATGCGCTTTAACATTGGAATTTAAATTGCCTTTCTCCATGAAAATTTATTCATAAAAACGATTTTTCCTTACGTTCCATTGCTGCTTGTTCATCGTGACGGCGCGAGATCAATTCTCGTATAAATTATATTAAAGTTGTAAATTTCCCACAATTGTGAAAAACGTCAGTGATTTAAAGCTTTTTTTTTCTTTTGCAACTTGAACAAAAACGTTTTCTACATGGACAATTCAAAGGATAATTTCTGTGTCAAATTCTCAAAAATTTTCGTGAGAGTGAAAATTGAGAGAATTTTGGGAAAAATGAGAAAACTACATGATGTAGATTTCTCAATTTTCAAGAAAATTTCTCTCATTTTTTTAGGATTTCCACTTTTACTTCTCATTTATTTTCATTCATTCCTAGCTTGTTACCGCAGTCATTTCATTCCATTTGGTTTCGCATAAAAAAAAATCATCTTTTACTTTCATTCAACCCCTCAGCGTCTACTAAAGTATAAATGTATCAAAAACTTTCTTCACTGATGATTGATTCGGTTATGAAAATTAAAATAAATGACGTCAGCGGGCGTACAATGTTATGTAGGCTCATGCTCAATTTATCATCACAGTTGTTTTGTTTTTATTAAAAATATGTACGAAGATGTACACACATAAATATACACATAGATGAAAGAACCATGTTTGCAGTATATCTTCATATCATGCATAGTGTGCTTGGGGAAAATCGGAAAGAAAAATAAAAAGTGTATGATGATGTTATCCTTTGCGACTTCATGTGGCATACACGATAAGATGATAAATTTCTTGTTAGCATCTTCCATGTTCTTATTATTTTATTATAATTTTTCTTATCAACTTTTCAGATTATATTTCAACCTTCATTGTGGATTATTCTTGTATGACAAAGAGATATTGACAAAGTCATACTTCAAAAATGATTGAATTATAATTAGAATGTTACTTTGTTTGCTATGGAAAATGGAAGAAAGGAGAGACACAACGAACATGCACGATTGAAATGTCTCTGATGGAAAATTATTAAATATGAAAACGCATAGGAAGGGTTAATAACAGGTGCTTAAGAATAACAACATTAAGTATAAATAAGTGAAAATTTTATGGCATATTCTAGCCGTTAACCGTTCACTTCTTAAAGAACTTTAGAAATAAATTTCCCGAGAGCTTGCATACATTTTGTGGTTGTCATAAACTATTTCATAATTTAAAATTATCAAGAGAAAACAATTTTAATGAACGCTTTTATGTTCTGCTTTTCCTGCTTTTTTATTCAGCTAACATAAACATGAAGTTCCGTATCGAATGTTTCCAATAGCATTTTTTATCATCGTGAAAGCAGCAAAAATATCTATAAAATCTCGTGATGAAATTTTAATTAGATTCGAGCACAAGTTCAAAAATTATTGGCAATTTGTGACAAGTATGAAGGATGGCAACCATAAACTTCGAATAAGTTCTAAATAAATCATGTAATGAAAACAGAAACGATCTTACCCTAGTTCAATTTATTTCTCTTCTTATATTTATGTATTGGTAAGAGGTCGAGGTTTTTCTTAAATCCACTTTTCCAAATCATTTCAAGTTGTGAAAAGAAATGTGCTCGAACAACTGCATCTCTATAAAAACTTTTCTTCTTTTACAGTTCACCATCAATGCTCTTCTTGGTACTTAATGTTTAAAAGTGTTTCGTAATGCCTGATAATTTACCACTCTCGTTGGCTTATCAAAAAAAAATCTCAATGCTTTTTATATTTTTACATTGACAGTGTTCGTGTTCATTGGGCGTTGAATGATACTTAATGAGGTATTCTCACAGCATATTTTATTCTTAATCTCGTAGTTTCATTTGCTGCGATGTGCGCTATCACGGCAATTCTTCATTCATTGCTTCATTAATTCTCCACATTTAGTTACAGAGATTCCTCTATTGAAGCTGTTGTCGAAGCTTTTCTTTTTTGCAATAAATAAGAATTAAATGCGGGTGTCGCATTCTCTCGTTTTATTTCTTTAAAGTTTCATTTTCTATCTGAATAGATAAAGTCAAGGAAATCTTGTTTGAAGCGTTGAAAGTAGCTGAGATTGTTTGATTGCTTGAATGGAATGCGAAAGAGAGTGAGAGATACAATGCCATAATTCAAGTTTCATCTGATAGAAGATTTAAAATGAAACATTAATGTCGAGCAAATAATTACAATCAATTTCACGCCCCTGCACCGTCACCCGAGAAGATTCATAGCAGATTGAATTTTTCTCCTTCTCGACGAGTATCTTGTGGAAGGAAAGAATGATTCGAAATTGAAAAATGAAGCTATATATGTAAGCATGGAAAGCAATTGAAAATTATACATTCAATAGAATACTGAAAATGCATATTTTGCATGTTTCGTGAAAAAGAAAATTTCATCTCGGGAAGGAAATCCATTTTCTCGTTGAGTAAATCATTAAGAATTGTAACGTAAATTCTGGAAAATGTTCGGTATCCGTAAAGCTACATTCATTGTGCGAATTTAAAAAATAGTTTAACATTTTTAAATTGTAGATTCTTGTAACTTTTCCTAGATAAATAGTCAAACACGTCAATTACATTGTTTCGATAATAAATTGTATTGGAAATTCTTTTGCTTCGTTTATTTTGAATATTTCCAATTTAAAGATAACATAACAAAGGTTTTTAGGTCAAAGATCAAGGTAGGTTGTGTTATTCAGAGCAACAATACATGTAAAACATAAAACATTCGATTTTCCCTCGAGATGTTTGAAAAAGCCTTTTCTTGTTCCGTAAATAATCGTAAGTGCAAATTGTTTAATGCATACAGCAACACTTATAACTTGTGTGATTATTCATAATGCATTCATAATATTCATTTTTCCATCTATTGAATTTTATGAGAGCATTTTCACCTTCATAAAAAGTTTATGAATTTCCCTTTCTGATGGAAGGAAGGTAAGAAATAACACGCTCCAATATTACAAACATATTCCCAATTCCTTATCGTTCAATTGAGCACTGTTATTAATGTAATTGGCTTCGAGCTAAGAGTAATCGATACAAATTATCGATATTAATGATTGCTTTATGGTGCTTACACGACTTGATATATATGAGTGAGTGAGTCGTTAAAACTGTTTGCGTGGGCACACATATTTATGATGCTCAGACAACTTTAATCCAAAGTGAAGTAAAGGTAATCCCAGAATATTAAAGATGAAGAGGATTTTTGCGACTTAGAAAAAAATGGTGAGTTAAGATAACTGTGACACATTTCTTTGACTGCTGTGCTTTATCGTCGTCCTTTCCGTTTAGTTCCCCCATCATCTACATTCCGTTATTGTGACAGCTTTCGAATGAGTTTTTTTTCTCCAACATCTTCACTTATTTTATTTGCTTGAAGCCCCGTAAACTTTTTTTTTCTCTCCTTGATAATGTGAACTGTCCATTTGGATTTCTTTTCAATCTTCCTTGTCGATTGCTGCAATGATAGAAGAAGTAAAAGAAAATAATACGACAAGATTAAGAGTATTGACACATTTTTATTTCTATTAAACTCTCAGGGTGATGACTTTTTCTCTCGATACGAAACTTTCAATTAGAAAAGAAGAGGAAAAAAATCAATTTCGTAGATATCCAGTTGAGCGAAGAAATTAAATCTTATCATCTGTAATCAATCTTATCGATGTCAATTTGCATTCAACATCAACACATTCATGACATTTACAATGAGAATTTGAAGGGAAAAGAATCATTTCGATTGCCTTTTACGGTTCAGCGACTAAAGTAAAGAATAAAGAAAGTTAAAAGGCAGTAGAAAGATTTCTCTTTAAGTATCATCGTGTCTCTATTTCTCTCTCTGTTTCTTATTCCTGATAATATGTCTCAGATATGTAAATATTTGATACGATAATTGGATTATTCTCAATTCGGATTCTTGATATGAAACGAAAACATTTTCGAGCGCAAAATTGTAGAATCAGAATTTTCTTATCTGCTACCGTGCTGCCTTACCCCAAAGTTTGTCTTTTTTCTTTTTCTTTTTCGAAATGTAAACACACAAATTTCCACCTGTATCGCATCATTGCTCGATGAAGGAAATTTGCCGAAGCTAAAGCAATAAGATATTTGATTGTTTTTCATTTTTACATTTAGATTCAGGGATTCAGGCAAACACGTCTTTATGCGTTTGTTATGCTCGAGTATGATCCAAATCTCTTTTCAGTTATTTGTTGACGTCTTGAATTAAATGTTATCGATTTTCATCGAAAAAAAACGAATGAAAACAGATGAACCTTAATGCTGGCAATCAAAACTAAGCCTGCCATTTTTCCCATCATGGGAAAATCATTTCATTCACGTCGTATCTTTTTTTATATTGAGTCAGCAGAAAAAAAATTCTATTAGTTTGCGATTTTTAAAAGCGATGATTTGAGTACCTTGGAGAGAAAAGAAAGTTAGATTATTTGAAAAATTCATCCAAAATCATCCACAAAGACTTCATTCATCGTCATGTTGCTTGAACTTCAAACACATTTCCGTGAAGGAAAAGCTTTTATTAAAATTTTTAATCATAGACTTTTCATTTCAATCGCACGCCCCTTAACTACCTAAAGCAGTTCATAATTTTCAGCTATATTTATGAAATAAAATTTATTCGTGTGCGAACTTAAAGTGGGTGAGTTAGCGTTTGTATGAAATGTTAATGAGATTCGTTGGATGAAAAAATAGTAAGAGAAAGGAGAAATAACAAAAAAAAAACTTTCCGCGGTAGCAACAAAAAGTTATCCGTTTTAAATTTTTAATAAAAAAATGGAAAACTTTATGTTGTGCGCCACGAACCTGAAACAAACACAAAAAGCTTTTTTATTTGTTGAGAAGTTCTCATATTATTGTTTAGTTGGCACGACTTGAGTTTAACAATTTCTGCTTCTTCTTCGTACTTTTCTGCTGGTTAAGAAGTTCAGTGAAATGATTTTTAAATTGTATAAAAACAGTAAGATGCTTAAATTGCTCTTGGAAATATCGGGGTAAATTTTCCAGCACTCCACAACGGTAATATTACAAGAAACTGATATCTTCGTGTGAGGAAGTTTGGTAAATTTTACTCAGCATTTTCATGGATGAAATTAAGAGAAGCAGAATAAATTTCAAGGCTGAAACAAAAACTGTGCAATGAGAATTTAAATGACAAGGCACTTTCCAAATAAATACTCAAGAGATAAAGAAAACGAAATATTATATTATGAGAAAAACAGCAACATTGCTGTGAGACAATGCAGAAGCCACGAATTTTCAATTTAGAACAATTGACATAACGATGCAATTAAAAGTGAACTGTGGTTGATGCTGGCAGTAAAAGAAAAGCCACAGGAATAATGGAGAGTGTCATGAGACAAAATTGACATTAAATCCATTTTATTTATTATTAGCACTTTTCTCGTCATTTATTGCATTATAGGTTGTCATATAATTTAATGAAAGCACCGATGGAACATTATGGCTCTTATTATACAGAAACGCTCGTCATTTTGGATGCCGTGACGGGAGAAGGTTGCAACATAATCACGTAGATTTATTATCGTCTTTTACTCGTAAGAAGATACATTTTTTTCCTTCCAGTTCCAAGGCTCATGATGTCATTTAAGGCAGGCATGGGGATAGTGAAACAGAATTTTAACATCATCTTATGGAGCATCTGGAGAAGTGAAAAATATCTTTATAACTCTCGCTATACACTCAGTTTTCATACTTAAAAAATGATATTTACTCATGTGATAAATGTCTTGTTTACAGAATTTTTCAATTTAACATTAGCCAGGTTTTTCTTTCCTTTCCCATTCTGATGAAAAATTTATTTAATGTATTCAGATGGTCGTTAGTGTCGTTCAAAAAAAAAATATGATGAAGGAAGACAGGCATGTTGAAGGTTTATTGATGAATTAAATTGGGAATTAGTTATTAGAAAGAAACCCATAAAGTGAATAAAAGTAGTCAAACTACTCTCATTAAAATTAAACATTTATAGTTATATTGATATTCCATATTTTCAATGTTATCACAAATTATTTTCGTGTCAATATTTGACAACGAGCCAGTAATATCAACACTGTACACATTTATTCCTTAAAATTCAAGTAGAAAAGTGACAGCTTAAAACCATTACTTATATTGAAGAGTTTGTCAGCTTGCATCCCAGATGATAAAAAGTTGACTTAAAATTTTGTATATTTGTAATTTAATGTTTATCACTTTACTAAACATTGGGTGAGACTTGTTTTCCATACGACTCTTTGAAATAGATGAGAAAATTATACTCGAACACCTCGGTGAAAGCTTTTCCTATTAATTTGAGTACTAAAAGAAAAGCGTGAAAATTGAGGATACGAGAGAAGGAGGATGTGGAAAACTTGTGTGTCTTGCGGAGCGAAAAGATTTATGTTTCATTATATCACCATTTGGCATTTTACTGCAGTACTCAGTGGAACGAGGGAATTTTATAAGACGATAAGAGAACTTAAATATCCGGAGCTTTTTAAAGAGCTTTAATTTTGCCATCTAATGTAAATTTACAGATCCTCATATAAATCATAATGATGATCATACATCAGCATTTATTTTTTGTTGTTTGTAATTTTCAGTCATACATATCTACATTGTTTATGTCGTACATAATTTATGTTGATTCCTTACAACAGATTTAAGGCGAGTTCCTTTTTTTTTGATGCCTTCATTCGAACGAATGAAAGAGAATGTCGAATGAATGTTCAACCTCTGACACATTATCTTTGATTTCAACCACAATCATCACTTCCTAAAATCAATAGTTATTTTGATGGTGATAGCTACTAAATTGAACCTTTCACAAGGTAATTTTCGGATTATACTAGCGATTAGATGTAAAGTCAGTAACATGGGGAATTGTCCTTTAGCATAAACCGTAATAAATGTTGATAGAAGTGTATGAGAAATACAATATTTTGGTTGGAGGGATAACGATATGACCGAAGATTAAGAAGACCAAGTTATGATTATCACTAAAGATTATGAGGATTTATTTGATGTTGAATATCACAGCTTGACTCTCATTTTAACTATCCTGAAATGCTTATAAAGCCCAAATCTGTTGGTCTGACAACCTTTTGAGTTGTTCGTCTTTGACGAATAAAAAAAAAGTCAACCCAGCGTGTGCATTTAGCAAGAAATTAATTTAATTATACCAAAATTCCATCGTTAATGGTATTAGAAAATGGTGTGGGAATAACGCAAATAAAAAAGGTCAAGAAGGTCAAGAGACGAGCTTCTACAGCAAATTAACAACAAGCCGTTAATTAATTATTGGTCTGTTTCTTCGGCATAATTCTCACGTGGCTGACATGGACGAAATTCGATGAATTATTATTTTTATCAAAGGTCAATATTTGGGATTCCCAGAAGGCATCAATATTTTATCTCTATGGAATCTAAATATCTACATGAAAGCAGAAGAAATTGGCAAAGACAAAAAGTTCATTTCTCTTCAGAAACATCCACTGTAGAAGAATCATTAAATCAAATGACTGCACATCAATCTTCGACTCCAAAAATAATTCTTCTTCTTTTGTTTACAAATGGAAATTGTTTTTCGTTCATTTTAAGTGCTCCCACGGGCCCATTCAAATGAAAGTAAAAGAAGAAGTAGAAGTCCTTCTCAACTACCTACCGAGAAATCAAGAGATTAAAAAAAAATGTTCACAAAAAGTAGCAAAAGACATGCAAACGAGAAATGATAAAAAAATATTTCAGAAACACTTGAAAGTTTGTCTCAGGAATTTTGTTTTTGTTTTGACTTCTTTTTCTTCTTACTGCTTGTTATGTCAGAAGTTATAACTTTGATATTTTTTATCTACCTTTATTGTTGTAAGTATCTCAAAGCTCCCAAAATTTCCCTTCAATTTTCGAACAGTAAACATTCATCAGATTTAAGGTAATTTTTTGTTTATTTCTTTTTGAAGCTTAATTTGAGCGTGTTCATCAACTTCTTCTATTCCCGATCTTAAACAGGTCTTGAAAATTTCTCCCTCACTTTTCGTGTGAGGAAATACAAAAGCTAGAGTGAAAAAAAATATATAAATATGTATTACAAAATACTTTCCCGTGCTAAGGATAAATAAAAGAAGAAATTTAAACTTCACGTGATACTCGTGACGAAAATATTTTTATTTCCCGTACACTTTTCCTTCTGTCGCCTTCATTCAAGCTTTGTTGGTTCATTCGTCTAGGCTCAATTTTGTTCTATATAAATATATTTTTGTAAAAGACGAAAGAAAATGTCGAATAATGAGACTTTCCTTTTAGCTTTATATTGCTACTTAATTTACACGAAATAAATGTGCCGAGCGTTTCTTTTTTCTTTTCCAGACTGTGGAAAAAGAAAAAGAAATTCATGGAGGAAGTGAAAAAGCTTTTTAATAAACACACGAGTTAGCTATATTTAACAATCCGAGAATTTTTATTTTGTTAGGAATTTCGCAATAAGCTCAATGCTTTATCTACTAATCTTACATTAAGACGAGAATTCTCTAAGAGCCCAACAGCTTACATAGACTCACTGGGAATCGTTGATTTTGCTTTTTAACATTCAAAGTGAATAAGAAATAAAATTTTATTGGCAACAACACCTCACATCCGATGTAAAAATATTGCGTTATGATGCTAGAGTATGCTAACGGAGGTTAAGAGGGGGTGAGTTGTTTTATGACACTCGCAAATCGTGAAAATAAATATGCTCGAAAATTTATTTATTCTTTTTTGCTTTCTACATTATACACAACAGAATGATTCGTATATTTTTAAAGCAATTTTATTTTATGGAGGAAGAACACAATGAGATTCAACAAAATTGTTATTTTCATGTTTCTTTTTCTGACTGATAATTTTGTCACAGATTTATTAACTGCTGTCAATCGTTAGATATTCGTTGACAGACAATTATTCTATGCCAGAACAAATGCTGATGCAACCATAAAACTATCTAAAATCTAGAGAATTTGTGAAAGCATTTAGTGGTGAAGTAAAGTGGAGCAACGGATGGGTTTCGATTCCTAAAGTTTTGGAAATTTAAACCAAGCAACCTCAAAGTTGGAGAGATCTATTAGGTAATACTTTTTCCTCTGCATTTCATCACGTTTATTTCAACGTGACGATAAACCATTTGAATAGTTCGAATGAAGTTTGGGAACAACAATAGATAAACGAAAAATTTATGTCGCATATAAATTAGCAGCTAACGTCATATGCATATCTAACAAAAGAAATGTTTTTCCAAATATAAGGGAAAAATTTCCCTCCTATGTCGTGCATCACATTGCATATAATGAACACATTGTCGCATCGAAATCTATGGTCTTACTCATTATTCACGCTATAAAGTTAGTTGTAAGCTTTTCAAAGCTTCTACCAAAAGCGTAGAACGTTTTGTTTCTAACTTTGTCTCGTTCATTTGCTTCTGCTTTCATTTGACTTTGACTACATATCAAGGAGTGTTAGTTAAGTTATTTGTTGAAGTTTAAAACATTTCTCATTTATGTGTATTCAGCTTTGGAAAAGTTTTGTGATAATTTCGGTTTAGTTTCTATTTGCATTCTTCGGACTGTATTGATCCCAACTGGCAAATCGATTGGATGAGAGTGTCTTCGTTAAATAAAACTTATTTCTATGTAAGCTTTGAAAATGTTTGCAGCAACAACTAGAGAACAATGTTTTATGAAGCTTATACACAAGCACTACACACTTAATAATTCTGAAATATCATGGCATTATGAAATATGCATGTAAGGATGGCGCAATTTATCATGGCAGATTTTATTCAGAGAAGCCATCTGCTGCCTTTGTGATGAGAAGACGCAACATGAGTAAGTATGGGAAGAGGTGTGGCGCGTCAGGGGAGATAATGTAAATTGGAAATCTGAATGTTACACGCCACTTAAATGTTTTATGTTCTCGCAACGGAATATTAAATAATGGACGCGTGCGGTGATTTTTTTGTTTGGATTCAAGATGAAGAAACTTTCGCCGCTTGAAAAAGAAGTAAAGTTAATGACAAGACATAAAAATTATGTCAAAGTTCAATCAGTTTATAGCTACGCTTATCTTTTATTGTCGAATGAAATGTTTATGCCTCAACATTTAGAGAAATAAATTCTTCTCGAAATGGTGAAAGAAAACTTGAGAATAAATTTGTTACTTAATGCACCTTGAAACGAAGTGAAACATTAGATTGGTGTGAGTAACGAGAAAGACATTTCAAGAGCCATTAGTCGTTGGCATTAAAGCACAAAGGGATCAAATAATGCTCTCTCACTGACTGAATGAAGATCTACAATGACTGAACAACCACAGTCTGAATTGAACAATTTATCTTATCCTTAAATGATATCAATGCTTTGTCGATTTATTTACTTTTCACATTTTTTTTGCGTTTTCTCTTTTGTCTTATTTTTATTTTTCTCTCGAGAATGGTTTTTATTTTTGCTTAATGAACTGTGAAAATTATGGTTTTTTGTGTGAAAGCTCTCGAGAACTTATACGTTTTCCAGTTGAGATAAAATGAAATCCGAAGCCAAGCGAGTGAAATCATCAGTAATTAAAGTCCTGAAGCACAGACTCATATTGAAATAAAATCGCTTTTTTGAATTATTTTTATAAACTTCAAGCAGCTTATGTTTTCTATTGGATACAACGGGTGAGATAAGAGAGTTAGTTACATTAACTTTTATGTCTTCATTCTATCCTGAATTATATAACAACAAACAGAAGAATTAGTTTACAGGAAAAGCTTAGAAAAATGAGATTTTATAAATTTTTTTTGAATTCACCATGTACAAAGGATGTACATAAAAAGACTTTAAAATAAAGCACAACAACTGGATGCTTCAGTGAATTCTTGAGAGTCTGTAGATAAAATTGTTACCTAGATAATTAATTTAAACTAAAGTAAAAGGAATTTAATTTCTCTATTATCAAAGGATATCTTTGCCATATAGAAAGGCCATAAAGACGCTTTTGTTTTTGTGCACCTGCTGATACATAAAACCAGTAGAATACCAAAATTTTCATTCTGCAATTGGTTGACTCAACCGTAAATAAGCTTCCTTAATCAAAGCAAATCGAAATCGTCAGAAGTTTTGAATAATTATTTTAATTAACAAGCATATTGTGAACCGAACAAAGTATTTATTGAGATATTTATGTACATAGTTTACTTTCAAACAATATTAAGTAATTAATGTGATATTAATTAAGAGCTTTATGATAAAGGAATCTCTGTAAATGTCATAAACTTCAAACTTTGCTAATTAAGAAGTTTTCTATCAGATA